TTGGACACTCAATAGAACTAGAGCTGGTGTTCTAGTATATCCACCACGTTAGCGGTAATCTATCTACAGGAGCTCAATTACGTCTTCTCTCAGTAGTTGAGGCGGTAGCAGTCAGTGCCAGAACACCTGGTCTGTGTACACGGAAGAAGTATGTGGAACCGGTGTGTTTACCTTCACCTACAATAAGGTCAACAAATCCTCCATAAACATTGCAACATTGAATTCCTAACGCAATGTTTCTTTTCTTCCCTGTGTTTCGTTGCCAAATGTTCATTTCAGATGGTCTACAACTTTATGATCTTTCTAATTATATCTATCATCTTAGGTTTACGTAAAGTTTTTCTAACTTGTTATTATATTTACACAATCCTGTCCATTCTACTTCATCAAATTCATTGTTACTTGATAATTCTTCACTAATAGTGTGATGACAGCTAGCTGCAAGCCAAAAATTTTAGACAAAAATTTACGTCAGTGTTTGCGTCCCGAATCAGGGTCATGAGAAAAAAACAATAGCAAAGCTTAACCTTGAGAAACCTGTCAACCAATCACATCAGACTTAGCCTGTGCAAATACGATTGGCAGATATATGATTTAACTTTCTAAGAAACGGCCACAAACCGTACAGAATAGTATTCAGCAAGAAAACAACCAATCAGAAGACGTTGCCTCTCCGTTAACAATAACGCTAATAATGATGTACATAAAAATCTATGAATATTTGTTGATTTTTTTCATTAAAGCATCTGTTGCTTGGCCCTTGTCTTCTGTCGTTACATCGTTATTATTGTCGTTATATTTTCACCCTTGAACTTACGTCTAGTGCACCCCATACGTTGGTTGGTTCATTTTTCTGTAGTCTTCATATTGTCTCACACACCACTGATTACACTCACCCTTGGCACCTGTACTTCTGCTGACTATTATATTATTATTATTGCTCCCTTGGGTTCCTAGTGGAACATACGGCTTCAACTGCACGTCTCCATTTTCTTCTGTCTTCTGCTATACTTTTCGCCTGCATCCATGTTAATCCATCTTCTATCAACTCCTCTTCACACGATCTCCTCCATGTCACCCTTGCACCGACGTCCCACACGCCGCTTCCCTTTCGGGTTCCACTCGAGGGCTTGGCGCGCGATGTCACCCAGCGGTCTCCTCAGCGAGTGTCCGATCCATCTCCACTTTCTCCTGCATATTTGTTGGGCGATTGGTTCTTGCTTTGTTTGTTCCCATAATTCCTTGTTGGTGATTCTTTCCGGCCATCTGATCTTCAGTATTGAGCGAAGACAGTTGTTAATAAAGGTCTGCAGCCTTTTGGAAATATACTTTGTGACCTGCCAAGTTTCTGATCCGTATAGAAGAACTGACTTTACGTTTGTATTGAAAATCCAAATTTTGTTGGTGATGCTGAGTGACGAAGATTTCCAGATTGATTTCAGGCTGATGAATGTGTTTCTCGCCTTCCCGATTCTCGATTTGACATCCTCGTCCGTTCCGACTGTCTCTAGTTGAGACAATGCTCCCTAGATAAGTGAGTGGATGAAGTAACCTCTTTCAAATCCCTCCCGTTTATGGTGATTGACGTTGGATGTTGTTGCTGTTGTTGGTTGGTTATTTTCATAACTTCCGTCTTGTCTATGTTTACCTGGAGTCCTGTCTTTGCTGCTTCTTCCACCAGTTTGTCGGTTTTCGCTTGTAAGTCTTCGATTGTGTGTGACATCAAATATAAGTCATCCGCGAAATCCAGGTCTTCTAGGTTCTTCACGTCGGTCCAGGATATTCCTGTCTTCTCGTTTCCCACTCACTGTCTGACGCATAATCCAGTCCACCACAATTAGGAATATATATACACAAATAAATCATTCATTTATTTCATCTCATTTTATCTCATGTCCTCATTGACCACGGATATTCTAAACAATTATGAAAAACTAATTGACTATTGTTGCACCTCATCTTATACCCCTTCCAAAATTTATTCTCAGATATAACTTTAATTTGCCTTTACTGGCTAATGTAGGCAAAAAAGTTAACGGATTTATAATTAGAGAACATGAAGAAGAATTCATGGAGGCCACAAGTGTTCCCTCAAACTACCACTTTGTTCTGAACCAATTATAGGGGTGTTTAATTTACTGAAATTCTGTATGTCTGAATTTGATTATTTAGTTTCATGTGATGTGACAACCTCTTTACAGGTCTTTCTATGGTTTGAAATTTCGAATAATATTCACAGCCTAGTTTCTATTTTCAATTACAAATCTAGAATGTTCTGACTGCTTTCCATTGTTCATGAAGTTAAACTGTTACTCCTGGGATGGTTGCCACACTGAAGATTTCTTAAAATATTAAGTGAAATGGTTGTACATGGGGATGTTAACAATTGGAAATGGTTACATTATGTTAAATCGATGCATCAACTACTGTGGTGTTGTGATGCAGATAAGGTGTGCCCACGGAATATTATTCTCACATGTTCTCACAGTTCAATACTGCATTAAATACAGAATACTATGTATATATTTGAACATTCTATTTCATGTCGTTTGATGCAAACCGAAATCACATACTCAGTGATTGGTTAAGGAATATAAACAGTAGTTTGATCAATGAAAAATATACCTTGGCTTCCGTGTCTTGCCTACTGTTGTTACACAACAACTGTAGAAATTAAGTCCAACACAAAATACCTTGGAATAATTCTGTCCTGTCACCTTTCTCAGACATCCAATATCTTGATGATTTCTGAGAAACTGCTCCGTCTAACCTACTGCACTAGGAAGCTGAGGTGATCTGGAATCACTCAACCTTTACTTCTTCAGTTTGTTAACTCTTGCATCATACCTATTGTAATTTTACTGCTCCCTTCCTGCCTACCTCAAATTATTCTTTCCTGGGCTGCTACCCAAAACTAACTATGTGATATTGTGAAGGGTATTAAAGTTTGTTATTACTGTAAGTTGTTTTACTCCACTAAGTCACCTAGGTTAGTGTTGTAGTCGGCAGAAACTTGAGCTAATGTGAGAATGGTCTAAATTCATATTATTTGACGCAGAAAATCCACCCCCTCTGTTCAAAGCTCTCGTCTTACTGCATCTCATCTGGTAGAACTATAAGTCATTACAAGTTATTATATGCTCTCACGTACTACTGAGTAGACGGAATCAACGATTCTCTGTTTCGTCCGCCCGTGTTCTATGCGAGAGAGACAATGTTAAGCGCGATACCTGTGAATTACTTTGTTACCAGCTAGAGTACCGGCTCTTTTATTATCTCCTATTTGTAATATATGATGACACTATCTCAGTTAACTGACGATCTTACCTACTAACATTATTATCGTTATTATTTACGATTTTTGTATACATATGATTTCACTGTCACTACAAATGCCAAACGAGAAACGCCATTAATAATCCTGTAATAATATTTTTACAATAGATTTTAATGTTATTCGATAAAATTAGACGCAATCTTACACAGAATGCTGTGAATTCCACACTGTATCATAAGTACTGATTTGGAATAAAGCAAATTATTTTATTATTAATTATCACTATGCATTCCTCTAGCGTTGAGTCGAACAGCTTGGTCGCAGAAACACAACTTCATCTCATTTAGTGCTCGGATATCACCTCCAACTGACTGTACAACCGCTCACATAATCTTCTTCATAAAGCCTTCAACCTCTGAACAGTAATTAACTGAAATTTCGATGAATCATTCAACTCTTCATTGGATAATATTAATAATAATAAAATCAATGTTCCTAATTGCGGTAGACCAGATAATGTGACAGACAGCGATCCGGTCAGTGAGGAGACAGGCATAAAATAGACCCATACAAAAACCATGGAGGATCTCAACTTCGCCGATGATATATGTATCTTGTTTCCTACAAACTGGGAGATACGCAAGTGAAAAGCAACAAGTTGGCAGAAGTAGCGTCTATAGAATATATGACTTCAGGTGAACATAAAGGAAAGAGAGGCGATGAAGATTCCTGGACAACAGCAGGGACAACAACAGACAACAATTAGCCAGCACAAATGGGAGGAGGATGAAATAAATAATCTCCTTCACCTACTTATCTACCAACCTACCTACCTGGGAAACATCGTTTCAACTGCAGGCGGATGGGACTTCTGAGGATATCAAAGCAGTGAGGATCGGGAAAGCATGACAAGCTTTCATTACTATCAAGCCTGTGTGGAGATCAACAGCACTCAGCATGAAAATGAAAATAAGATCCAGATTTTCAACTCCAATGTGAAGTCAGTGCTACTATACAGATCAGGGCACTTCGATCAAATTGCACACCTTCATTAACAGCTGTCTTCGCTCAACACTACTCAAGATCAGATGGCCGGCCAGAAAAGATCAGCAACAGGGAGGGATCTCTGACAATGAACGAGCTAACTAACCCAGTAGGAACCGACTGTGCAACAAATATGCAGGAAGAAATGGAGGTGGGCTGGCCATACTCTGATGAAACCATCAAGTGACATCACATCCTAGGCTATTACTCGAATGGAACCCGAATTGGAAGCGGCGAGTTGGTGAGGGTGAGGGTGTGAGGGTGACATGGAGGAGGTCATGTGAAGAGGAGATAAGAGCATATGGGCAGACGTGAAGCCAAGTGAAAACTTCGGCAGAGAACCAAAGGCAATGGAGAAGCGCGGCTGGAGCCCTATGTTCCTCTAGGAATTAAAGAAAACACTAATAAATAATAATAAGTCAATTACTCACTCACAAGCAAACAAACAAATCCTTTTTTAATAGAAATCATGGATATTATATTAATGATACTGACAAAAGAAGGAAGTAATGCATAGAACTTTTATAAATTAGTAAATCAAAGACGAAATAAGACGAACTAGTGGAATGATTAAATAGCATCAAAAGGTAAAGACTGAATGTATGAAGAAGGATTTCAAAGGTTATTGAATTTCTCGTCAAAATCACGTCACTTTTGAATATCGTCTCTGCTGCAATCTTCAGTACTGATAATTTCTACTTTTTCTTTCAATTAATTTCTGTTGTTTCCCTGAAGACTTTTTAATGTTACTGTTGAAAGTGTTCACTGCCTCCTGTGCCTCACCAATCAACAGTCTGTCAACTTGTCTACACGCTTGACTTAACTTATACAACGGGTGTATACCACTACTATGATTGTCTGTGTAGTTGATTTCTTTAAAATAGTCAGATGCTGAATTATTCCATTCGGCGTACAGCTTGTTGTCTGGATTCCTTGGAATACTTTGAAGCACATTTGGCGGTTTCGATATCATTGAATAAAAAGGATCTATCAGCGGGGGATAGTGTTTTTCAGTAGTATTGATTAATTCATTCCCTTTTACTTTATTATACATTTCACTTGTTTCTTGTGAATAAATCCGCTCATCTTCTAGATGCTCTGGAGGTTGATAGTGTTGAAATTGACTGTCAACATTTCGGTGTAGCATACCTTCATTATGAGTATTTTTCATATGATGCGTAGGAGTGTACTGATCACCAGTTGAAGGAATATACTGGGATTTTTCATTAAATATTGAATTATTATTATTATTCAGCGTTAAATGTTGAATTCTTGTTGGTGAGGGAAGGTTTACGTCAATGTGATTTATGCAGGTTGTTTTTGGGGCCGTTATATTTGTAGTCGATAGAGTTGACGTGACTACTCCTGACGTTGCTGTTGGTGGTGTGGCTGTTATTGTTGGCGTCGTTGTCGCCTGCGTTGTTGAGTTGTTAGGTTGAACAACACGTTCAGTTTTACGGAATTTGGCACGTCGATTTTGAAACCAAACCTAGAAACAAATAGAAAGCATATTTAACAACAATAATAATAATAATGGTTTTTATTCCAAACATTGCTATTTGATACAAGATGGTTGAAGGTGATACTAACCATTTCCGGGGACTACCAGTGGCTGGAAGCGTTGGTGTGTGGTTCTTGTGGACAGGGGTTTTAATCTTACCTCTTTGAGAATATGCTCCTCATCAATTCCAAGGTTCTTTTTAGCAGTTGAAATTCAGTTAACTAGTTGTATCTTACAGTTCTACACCTAGAAACCTCATTTGCCTGTATAGTTAGCTGTCTAATGGCACTGCAGATATCTTTATCTAGCATTCAGATCATTAACAAATAAATTTAACCCTTAAATGTAATACAATATTGCATCTAATTTCCTCATTATACAGAGTAGTACTCGGGAGACAAGGGAATAATCCAGTGGGCATTTACACTGATAATATTGACCAACAATAATATGAATAAGAAGACAGTTGCAGCGAAGAAAATTTTCTTTTCGACGAAGTCATCATCACCCAGCCTCCGTAACGTCCTTTCCAAAGAACATCGAAAGGAGCTGAAAGAATTGAAGGATAATGAAAACTTGATCATCACGTGACCAGATAAAGGCTCCGGAATCGTCCTGATGAACAAATCAGACTACCTAAGCAAACCCTCGATGATACTATCCGATGATAAAAAGTTTCAGAAACAGTCTCCACAGAAAGATCCCACTGAACAGACGGAGCTCCAGCTAAAAAAGATATTGAAGAAAATGAAGGACGAATCCATTATCAGTTCAAAGCTATACGAACAACTGCGCCCATCTGGTTCTACAACGCCACGTATGTACGGCTTACCCAAGGTACACAAACAAGACGTCCCACTCCGCCCAATACTAGATATGATAGATTCCCCATATCATACAATCGCGAAATGGCTGGTGGAGATTCTCGGGCCGGTGAAAGAGAAGCTGTCAAGACATAACCTCCGCGACACATTCGACTTTGTTGATTCAATTAAGAATGTCAATGTGGCAGAAAAGAAAATGGTCTCCCTGGATGTCGTGTCTCTCTTCACCAACGTTCCACTGACAGAAACCGTATGTTTCCTTTGTGACTACATTGAATCCAATAACATCAATGTCGGTATACCAATTCATTACCTGAAAGAACTGTTACTTCGATGCACCTTCAACGTATACTTTAGTTTCAACAAAGAAATATACAGGCAAGTAGATGGAGTAGCAATGGGTTCTCCCTTAGGACCCCTTCTAGCCGACTGCTCTATGGCTAGCTTAGAGAACAACGCCTTATCAACAACTATCAACGACCTCCATCTCTACAAGAGATACATCGATGATACTTTCATTATTTGTGATGAGAACTGTGATTTAAAAAACCTACTTCAAATCTTCAATAATGCCCACCCAAACATCGACTTCACACTTGAGACTGAATCCGACGGAATGTTCCACTTCCTCGACGTCCATCTGACAAGAAACGCCGACAACTCCCTGAAAAGGTCCATATACAAAAAGCCTACATGGAATGGACAATTCATCAACTTTCAAAGCTTCGTGCCCCTGAGCAGAAAGAGGAACCTGATATACGCTCTTTCCTCGAGGATTCGGAAGATATGCAGCGAGGAAGTGGTTGAAGAAGAACTGCGTAATCTTCGAAAAACCCTGATGGAAAACGGTTTCCCGCCCAGGTTCATAGAAAAGAATCTCAAACCTAAGAAGACTTCTGAACAAGTCCAATCCGTCCCAAAGAAAATGCTTCTGCTTAATCTAGAATTCAAAGGTGATATTGAAGCAGAAATCCTTCGCAGACGCCTCTCAAAATCGCTGAGGAAAACATACTTCGCCGCTAGCCTACGACTGACGTTTTCCTGCAAGAAACTGTTCAGCCAGAACGCGAAAGACAAGCTGTCGCATTGGGCCACCTCAACGTGCATATACCAGTTTACTTGCTCTTGTGGAGCTGAGTACGTTGGCCGTACCATGCGCCGACTTGAAAAACGCGCTCGTGAACACTATCCAGCCTGGCTAGTAAAAGGAGAACGAAAACGGGTAAATAGTTCGGTGACAGAACATCTGGTGAATTCAGGACATTCAGCGCCACTCGAAAAATCCTTCAAAATCATTTACAAGATTCGATCAAACCTATCAAAGGGAGTAAAATCAAGACATCTGGGCATAGCCGAGGCGCTAGCTATACAAAAGCTCAAACCCACGCTTTGTATACAAAAGAAATACGTCCAACCCCTGTCCTTGCCATGGCCATCATAAACAGGTAATTTTTAGTAATCACCATCCCATCTCCTTTCTTATCTAAACTTCCTGTTTATTCATGTTATTTCAAGTTTTTCTTAATCCCTGTTTACACTACCATATTTTCATACCCGAACTTAGTGTTTATTTTGTCATTTTACTATTTCTACATATTTAATCCCTGATTGCATAAACAATTATTCATCACATTAGTTTTTATCCAAACATCCTGTCTATTTTGTTATTTCTACATTTCTAACCCCTAATTGCACAATGTCAGTCTTCTTAGTTATTATAATGCTACTTTGTTTGTTTTATCCATCCCCCTGTTTATTATGGCATTCTAATTCCCAATTTTAATTTTTATTAATTTGACCCTTGACCGGATATTATTCTGGAACTTTCCCATCCATTTGATATAAATACACAAATGTACAGCCTAGATGATGACTTCGTCGAAAAGAAAATTTTCTTCGCTGCAACTGTCTTCTTATTTACTCCTATGACCCAATAATATGAATGTATAATTAAAATTGAAGTGGAAGACGCCACAATCATAACTTAATGAAAGAACCAAAAACGCCGTTTACTAAGTATTTCATCACAGTCACCAAGACGACAACCACTAGCACACTGAGGCAGTGAGTGGCTATTATGATGTCATTAGCAGCGGCCAAAGTCCTTATGCAGTGGGAACCAATCTCCTCCTGAAGGATTATGACAGCAAGATCCAACTCAAGAGGACGGATGTTATGCACAGTGATACAAACAAAGGCGAACAAGAGAAGAGGGACGATTTCTACAGACAACTGCAAACACTGATGCACAACATCCGAAATGGTGTCATTGGAATTCTCATGGGCGATATGAGTGCAATCCAAACTGGGAGTAGATAATACAGGAAGAGAACTCATTATAGGTCGTGAGCCTTTCGCTCAGAGAAATAAACAGGGACGAAGAGCTATTCTTAGATTTCTGTGTTCTCAATGAATCGATAATCTGAGATAGTGTGTACAACCACAAGGATATAAACAAGACGAAGTGGGTTTCCCCCGACGGATACACCACAAACCAGACAGATTTTATTTCAATCTCAGGGAAGTGGAGACGCAGCTTGATGAATACAAAGTCGAAAATGGCAGCAGATGTGGGCTCAGACCATCATCTAGTTCAAATAACCTTCAAGGTGAAGCTAAAATCTCTCAAAACAACTTCAGATAGGCCACTGTAATCCACGTTCAACATTCAGACAGTGAACGACAAAACCACAAGGGACACCTTCACTACACATGAGATCAGAGCAAATTTGCAGATAATATGTGGTATAAGTGGGGAAGACAGGAATATGCTGAACCAACATGAAGGCTCCAGAAGATCTGGATTTTGCGGATAACCTATGTCTAATGTCACACACACTCTAGACTTACAGGCGAAAAGCAACAAATTATCTGAATAAGCAACCAGAGAGGACAGGACTTCAAATGAACAGGGAGGAGACGGAGGTGATCAAAATAAATAACCAACAGGGACATCAAAAAGAGCCAATCGCTATCAACGGAAGAAATTTGCACCTTTCCAAAAACAGGCGGTTACCATGGATGAAGATGTCAAAGCGAGAATCGGAAAGCCAAGACACACCCTTGTCACTCTGAAATCACTCTGAAAATCAGCACAAGATTCGTATATTCAACATCAAAATTAGATCAGTCAGTCTTCTCTGTGAGTCACAAACCTGCACACACACATCACAGAAAGCCTTTCCAATAGCCAGCTACAGACTTTTACTAACGACTGTCCCGTTCCCTGGCTCCATATTGAAGATTAAATGGTTCACCAGAAAGAATAAGCAAGAAGAAACTCTGGGAAAAGACCAACAGAGGGAACCGATTGCTCAATAGATATGTAGAACGAAAAAGAGACTGATTGACTGACTCTGAGGAGACCGTCAGATGACATAGTTCACCAGGTTATCCCTCGAATGTTATCCAAATGGGGACGACGAGTTGGGTGTGTGTCGGTGGTTGACATGGAGGAGGCGATGAGAGGAGGAAACGAGATACTATTGGTAATCATGGGTCCAACTGAAGAAGACCTCAGAAAATAGGAAAAGTGGTGATGTACTGTTGAAATCAGTCGTCTGTATCTTTATCTGTGTCAGAAAATTAGTCGAGTAATCGTCAATCGTATATTGTCCTGGGTTGAAGTAACCGTAGGATGAATCTAAATCCAGTACTGTCTCAGTTATAAAGTGAGAGAATACGCTTTGGTGTGTATATTTTTCATTCACACATAAATTGTATTCAAATTACATAAAACTAAGAAGGCTGAGATGGATTATTGTTGTCAATGACATCATCCAACCGCACATGTATTAGTCTGACAGATTAGCAATACTAAACTATCAGTAACGAGTGAGGTTATTTCAAATTCGGTTACCGTAAATTATCTACAACATTACATATACACTACTGGTTGATACAAGAGGTATTATGCAACGCCCACCAGCTGATAATGACCTCTGTCGAAATCAGCTTGACTTCCATTTTAGATGTGTTTGTTTCAAATATCATACAGTAATGATGGAGTGTTAATAAGTGGATGACAAGGTTTCGAGCATAAATTATTACTGCCCGCAATCATCTCAGTTTAGTCACACGGATTCATGATTTCTCTCACACATATTTTTTCTATTCCTTTTTCACTCTCTCCAACTTCCCCTCGTTGTTTGTTGCTACTTTCCATATCTCCGGTGTAGGCATTGCGTCATTTCGACTGGACGTGTGTGGTGTTGAATTGATAAACAAAAATTCAGTGATTGATCTCTCTCGCATACTCCACCTGACCATATTAGTTTTTAGTTCTCTCAACCTGTCCCACCCATCCTAATTTTTGATTACATGCAAGTGAATGCAGAGAAATGGCTGGGCTTTTCTCTAGGTAAACGGTAAACATTACTGTATAACACTGTGAGACTTTATCAAAACAAAAATTTACCCATAATGGAATTATACTCTACCACAGTGCACAAGTTTTATTCTTATATCAATCATTTTAGGTCTAGCTAAATATCTACATTCCACTAATCTGTTTGACGACGATCTACTAGTTTCACCTATGTAGTTGACCTCACTCAAAGTCATTACTTGGTATTTGGTAAATTATGTTATTTTGTTTAATTGGATCTATTGGATCCTTAAACCGACAAAGTTTATCTCTGAGATAGTTGGTTGGTTTAATTGGCACTCTAATTCTAGCCTCTTTGAGAATTCAACGTAAAGCCGCTGACGTTACTTCTTTACACGGCAGTGCTACAGAGGCTTTGAATTCTTTATTGTTTTCGTCATTTTTATCGCTAATCTTAGTTTTCCTATGGTCCTTCATATATTTTTGAATAAATTCTGGTGGGTAGTGAGTGTGTGATTCACTAGCAATATTTCCTTTATTTGTTTGATTTTATTAATTAAATCCCCTTGTAACAACAGAAGACAAGAGCCGGCAACAGATCGTTTTATTACGGAAATCAGCATGTATTTATATATATTTCATGTACATTATTATAGCTTATTCAAGTAGACAAACACAATCTTCTGTTTGGTTGTTTCTGGCTCCTCGGAAAGTTAAGCCATATATTTGCGAATCTTATTTGCCCACGTTAAGTCTGCTGTGATTGGCTGTTGAATCAGCCTTGTTCATATTCTCTCACGGCCAATATTAGTGACCTAGACATTGACGTAAATTAATGTCTACTAATTGGCTAGCAGCCTGCTCTCACTACACCCTGAATTTCAGGTTAGGCTCCTGACCCGATTATATAGCCATTTAAGGGAATCTGCTATCACCGATTCTGGATGGGATGAATTAAAGTCTAAGTATTAATTAATGTGTCGATTTCCTATAAATGTAACTATCTTACCCACCATTTGTTTCTTTTTTTTGATTCCATAAAACTTCGGCACTGTTGTAGAGTATAATTCCATCATGGATAAAATTTATTTTGATAAATCATACAGTGTTATACAGTAAATACTACTGTATAACACTATGTGACTTTATCAAAATAAATTTTAACTATAATGGAATTATATTCTATCACAGTATCGAAGTTGTATCCTTGTTTCCGTTTTGTTTTACAGTCTAGCATAGTCAACTCACCCAATTCATTTTCTAATTCAGAAGGGAATTCGATTCCATCTACTATTGAGTTTATATGTAGGACAGAGTGAAGGTACCAAAACATAATATACTTACTTGGAGTGAAAGAGATGTCAGTTACTGAATCTTTGTTTATCGATTCAACGTCCCATTCACACGTCCCATCGAAATGACACAACGCCTACACTGGCGATATGGAAAGTGGCAACAAACAACCAGAGGAAGTTGCAGAGAGAGAGGATCAGAGGAAATATGTAAGACATATTGTGACTCTGTGTGACTAAATTGATATGATTATAAGTAGCGATAACTTGTTCTCGAAACCATGTTATCCAAATGTTAATACTGCATCGTCACTGTGTGATATTTGAAATAAACTCATCTAATATGGAATAACATTCAACCACACTGCCCAAGTTCTACATTTGCATTATTGATCTAAACTTCATATGACTTTTTGTCTTTTACAACAGTTTACTGGTAACATCGATTCAGCCTAGACAGTCCAAACCTTCTCAATTGATTTAGTATAGTAAAATTGAATAATTGTGAATTGCGGAACTGCATTTTAAATACTACCATGATTTTTACCTCTCAAACTAACGCTGTAAATAGCATCTAGCTTTTTTCGAAACCCATGCAATTATATACTACTGAAATGGTTTCTTTTTCAGTCTATAGTAATACTTTGATAACACGAATAATGAAAAAACGGCATGATTAAACAAACAAATGTTCAGGTGAAAGTAGTCGATAAAGGCTAGTAAAAACAAATGAACGTAAAAAGCCTCTATTTACTAAGTTACAATTTAATGGTGACCTATCAAGTGAGACTTTGTTCCAGAGGCTTTCAAGGAGTATACTTAGAACATTTTAGGCAGCACACCTATGTTTGTCATTCTCTAGCCGACGAATGATTGGAACGCAAACGAAGGATAAGCTTGATTGTTTTGACACATCTTTGTGTATTTATCAATTCAACTGCACCTGTGGTGTCAGTTATGTTGGGCGTAATACTAGACAGCTTAGCCAACGTGTTAGTGAGCATCTCCCATCGTGGTTTGGCAAAAGACAGACAAAAACAATCCGTAGCTCAGTTTTGTCACATTTAATTGATAGTGGTCATGTAGTGGAGAAAGCGAGAGCTTTCAAAGTAATTCATCGTACCCACCGAATATTTCTAATAGACTTTGTATTCGTCTGCTGCACACAGCTGAGGCTATAGGCATTCGAACTATTAGATCTAAACTATACATTCAAAAGAAGTTCGTACAGCCATAATCCCTCCGCTGTCGGCCTATTAAGACATAACCAACTAAAAACTTCTACACCACCCCTTGTTTATATTTCCAACCCCTTTCTTATGATCCCTTAATCTTATCTTCATTATAAACTTATTTCATTCACTTCCCTTACAATCAAGCATTACTTAATCGGTTCATTTGTTTTTACTAGCCTTTGTCGACTACTTCCATTTGAACAGTTGTTTGTTTAATCATGCTGTTTTTTCATCATTTGTGTTATCACAGATTGGCTCACTTTTTCATCCTTATTATTGATAAAACCATTATTATTATTATAATTATTAAGGATAGAATAAATAGTCTTAATTTTTCAAAGGAATCATCAATAAATTCTATCTTAAGTTGAGCTGGATGACTTACCTGAACTCTAGCCTCAGTAAGATCGATTCTCAGCGCCAAATCTTCTCGAGTATAAATATCAGGATAATGTGTTTCTTGAAAGGCTTTTTCAAGTTCTTTCAATTGAAAACTGGTGAATGTTGTACGAATTCTTCTTTGTTTACGTTTCTCGTGTAGATTTGTAATACTTAAGCATAAATTTGATAATACTGGACTCGGTTGTAGTGTGTTACCTGTTGAATGTTGAATAGTCATGCCTGAATTATCTAAGTTAACAGGTTTACTGATATCATTCTTAGTGTGATTTGAAGTTTTAACGCTGAAATTACCATCATGATATGGATTGATAGATAGTTCATCTTCATATGAGTCTGATTCGTTTGAATTCGTTGTCATAGTGTTATAATATAAATGATTATTTATTGGCGCCGGATTAAAACTGAACGGTACATGGGGTTTTGAAAAATCATTATTCACTACTGATCCATATTTTGAAGTTAATGATTGTAGCATCAATTCATCTGGATGGATCTTGTATTGAGAATCATCTGAAAGGACAAAAAGTCAATAAGAATACTGGCTGGTAACTACGCGAAATATTAAGTCACATTAGTAGAGTGTAAAAATTTTAGGCCCGTCTGCAACAGTCTAGCAGTTTATTCAATTAGCTTATTGGCATTTACCTGAATGAAGTTCAGATCAGTTTGTTGAACGAAAATTTGCGATGTCATATTTCAAAATGGCTAAGATTTCTACAAACATCACTTCGATGTGCATCTAAGGTATTATTAAAAGGATGGTTGTTGTGAAGGAAATTTTCTTTTCGACGAAGTCATCAACTAGACAGCTGTACATTCGTGTATTTATAGGAAATGGGTGAGTAAGTTTTACAACTATTTCCGGTTGGTCAAGGGGCGAATTAATAAAATTACAAAGTGTAATGAATTAAAAGATCGGATGAAAAACTTAGTAGAGTCGTAATTACACAGAAAATTGATTATTTTTGTGCAATTAGGGAATAAAAGTGTAGTATTAACAAATAAACATGAATATGCAAGTGTTGGTTTGTAGGGATTTGATTGATTTGTTACAGGATTTCATCATGAGGTGACATTGATTAGAGAACCATTAGAAAACCTGGAAGTACTGGACAGCTGTTTCGTCCTAGTTACCGGGGATTCTATTGGGAAGTCGTGACCAGTAGGATGCAGCAGGTCAGGTATGATGACAAATACTCGTCGAAGACATTGGCTAGCGGTCACACTTTGTCGTGAATTGCAAGAAGTTAAAATTCACGGGCCATTGGATTGGGTCCCAAGGGCTTAATGGTCCACGAGCTCGCCTTTTAACCAGAAGGTCCTGGATTCCAAACCCAGTGTGTGAGTGCTGTTGAATAGTCCCAAACTATGATGAAACAGCTGTCCAGTACTCCCTGCAGGTTTCCCAATGGTTCTCTAACCAATGTCAGCTCATGATGAAATTCCCTAACCAAATAAACATGATGTTTGGATAAAAAACACGGTAATGCAGATAGGGATCTTACACAAAAGAAGTAAAAATAACAGAAATAAGGATAAGAAAGGTAATAGGATAATAATTATTGATAGAAATGACGTTTTATAATGGCCGTGTTAGGGACAACAGTCGGACATATTTCTTAGGAATACATATTGTGGGCTTGAACGTTTGCGTCGCCATGGTTTCAGTTACTGCCAGATGCCTCGATTACACTCTCATCTGAGAGCCTTGATCGAATCTCCTATGATGAATTTCTTGAATCCAGCAGATGTTCTGTTACATACTTTATACACCTTTGCGTTCTCCCTTTCCCAGCCAGCCAGCTATGTTGGATAGTGTTTTTGAGAGCATTTTATAAGCGGAAGCATGGTATGGCCAATATATTTGGCTCCACATGAGCAAGTTGATTGATATATGCACTTTCTATACCCAATTCCTATAAGTACACTAATGTACAGCCTATTTGACTGCGACTTCGTTGAAAAGAAAATTTTCTTCTCTTGAACCGTTTTTTAATTATTCCTATGGCCTAATGTGTATATCTAAGGCAAAAATACATTCATTGGACATAGGTGGCAAGTAACGTCATACGTCTAGTCCATCATTCGGTGCTAACATGGAAAAATAACCTAGGCCAGGCCTTTCTGCCTTCCTAATAAAATAAAATTATTTTTAATACATCAAAGAGTACCAACATGTTTGAAATATGAACTAGTAAAAAAGAGGGTAAAATGATTTTATAAAATCAACAACAGAAAATCACATTTCCCACGGAATGCACATCAGAAATTAAGGTCTGCTCTCACGATATTCGTTTAGACTTAGTTATCCAGACGACATGCTTCTTAACCAGACTGAGAGCTACAATTTTCGTGTCAGGGATGAAGTAGGTGCAGTGGGATCTAACCTGTCACACATTGCTTGAAATTCTACGTTTTAATCCAATGAGTTATGGAGACTTTAACAATAAATGTGTGAAGTTTTTACCAAATGTTAAAAATGGACACATTGTACATCATTTTTGTTAAATTGACTTCCATGTCAGTGACAGATAAATTTAGAGTTCGAATAGACATATAGTCGTGGTGTCCATCACTTTGTTCTTCTCACTGGTTCCTACTGTCCCCTTGCCCCAGCGATGCCCGTGTAGCATTCCTCAGAATTTTTAGGTACATTTCACCGTCGTCCGAGGAATATTCTACAACCGGTAAAGAAATTCGACCAATGGATATAACCCCAGTAGTGAAACGAATCTGTGGGTAATATTGATTTTTTGTAGCAGTGGAGTTCGGCTGCATTTTCAAGTAAACATTAACTTTTATAACCCGTTATCTGTATTTCCACGATGTACTGACTAAGTACTTTCTCATGACCTCGGATTTTTATTCTCAAATTTCGTATCGTTGTCAAGTTGATTGTTAAGTCGCCTGAGGAGGCAAAATGTACAAAACTGTCAGATGCTGTTAATTGCGCCGACTGGAATTCTCTCTCGGATCGTTTATAATACGCTAAAAAATTACTCATACGAAAAAGTCCTAACGACTCCTCCACTACTCATAGTCTCTTTACTCTCACTTTTATGAGGAGAATTATGTGTTATTTCTTTGATCAGGTTTATTTGTCATGGTCTCCTCCAACAGTGCAAGCTTTTAAGATAATTAAGTTGATTTGAACTGATTAGTCGACTACATTAGATATTCAACTCCGTCCTGAGTTCTGCATCAATACAGACTAGGAAGTGCCGACACAGACTTACTGCAACTTATAGCTTAGTGTGTAGAAGTAAGCACATTTAAAGCCAATCACAGTGATCACTGTGTGCATTCAACGGCAACATTAAAGGATAAACATCACAGACAAATGACCTTGAATCAACCAATCAGACGGCTGCGCAGCATTTCAAATTGATGCACTTCATAATCTTCATCGTAAGATTCGTTCCAACCTGAAGCGTAACCCTACCCCAACATCAACCTGAATCAGGATGAAACTTGGAAGAAAAATTGTAAAAAGCATCGATTTTTTACAATGCTGAGTGATCTGATTGGTTGGTTCAAGGTCATTTGACTCTAGTCACCATCTTTTATCAACTATTTCCCTTTAGACACTACTGGGAAAGTGTTGTTAACTGTTAGGAATTACTTAGAATGATAATTCTCTAGCTAACTTGATCATTGTATAGAATTGGAAAGCGACATTTGTTAAGATTCGGAGTAGAAATCACTCATGTCGTCAAGTCCTGCAGAAAGTCCTAACGACACATTTAATTTGATGATGAAGACTCTGAGTAAAGTGGGTATCACGTTTCTAGGTGCTTAACGTTTATGAATTACACTAAGGACAGATTAGTTTAAAACTGTTCCTGTCGGTTGAGTCCTCACATCTAGAAAAAGATTAGATTTGTCGGGGAGTTCCATTAAGTATGAATGGATTAGTCAGTTTACATTTTCAATTCACATCTATGCAACATATGCTTGATTTTAACAAGAATTTTAATAATTATTATTGTTGCTATTATGTTTTAATTAGAATAATTCGCCCTATTCATCATTCATTTGTTCATAATTGTGTTACGGTCAGCTGAACTTAATAAAGGATAACTTGACTATTGTTCTATGTTCAATCTTTTATCTTCTTAAAGATGTCATCATTACAAAAGACGGATCAGATGGTGATCATTGAAAAGTTCTTTTGATTCACACACACACACTCTCTCTCTCTCCTATTGTTCATTCTTATATATGCGATGTCATTACATAATAATTTGTTCATCTTTGCACTGCACAATGTGTGGAACATAACAAAATATGAAAGCCATTCACACTTCTCTGATAAAACAATCAAATAGCACTTGACTATTTCATAATCTGCTTTTGTCATGAGTAAATATAAATTCGTATTTTTTAGAAACTTTCCTTATAGTATCCACATTTCATATGTCATATCACAATACCATATGTTCATTTAAATTACTATTTTATCCCTAATCTTATCTTACGCCTCAGATTTCTACTGAACATATTGAACAAAAAAAATGTGTGTGAAATTTGACAAGTGTTTTTACACATTAACAAATAAAACATAAATAAATAAATAAATTTCCCTTCATGTGTTCCCCAAAATTAACTGAAATTTATATGAATGACAAATAAAAATTAACCTTATCATCATTTATTTGTTTAAATAGGCTTTTGTTTTACCTGTTAAAAGACAACTCACAATGGCGCGCGCGCGTAATTCAAAACAAGAGGAAATATAATCCCCTCGTATATGCCTTTCTATACCAGATTAGACATCACATTTCTTCCCTTATTTGGTTACATTTTTCCCCTTGTCTTTCTGTCTGTGTCTATCTCACACTGTTAGAAATTTACACCCGAAAACATCTGCTACATAATTGTAGTTATTACTATTACTTTTATGAGTAATATAGAATTTGATATGGTTAATGTATTGCTTGTTATTGTTAAAGTGGAAACAAGAAGGAATGACACTCAGAGATGATAATAATGAGGTGCTCAGGCACCGAAAATAAGTAACTTTGAGTGAGCATAAACACATATATATACATATTTATTTACATACTGCTGAATGTTATTGCGTCTATGCTCACTGCTTTCCTGTAATTGTCATAATAAAAATAACAATTCTGCTGCTCTCTCTCTCTCTCTTCCAAATGATAAACGACTTATGGAGTAATAGAGAAAGACTCAAAAATCTAGAAGAAATAATTCACAGTGGAATTTTGTAGAGTTTCTTTTCTGGATACAAATCGTTGTTTTTTTCTCTTTTCCTTTCCATTCTTTCTGTTTTGATTAGTACTCATGATTGATTATTCGCCATTTATGTCTATGATACTTTTCCCTCCTTAAAATTGGAAAAAAAATTGGTACATATTTGTACAGGACTGAATATGAAACAATTTTTGTAAAACTTTCTACTTATTTTCCTTCAGAGAATGAATTCTCTTTTTGTAGTTGAAAAGTAAAACAATTAGGATGAAGAACTTCAAAGTTATCTGGATAGGACA